TAGGACAAAGGAGGTTTAGGATAAATGAGGTATAGGACAAATAAAGTGTAGGACAAATGATTTGTAGGACAAATTAGGTGTAGGATAAGTGATTGGCATGACAAATGATGTGTAGAAAAAGTGATGTGTAGGACAAATGATGTTTTGGAAAAATGTAGGACAAATGTTTTGAAGGACAAATGAGTTGAAGGGAAAATGATGTGAAGGACAGATGAGGTTAAGGAAAAATGATGTGTAGGATAAATGAGGTGAAGGACAAATGATGTGTAAGACAAACGAGGTATAGACCATTCTTCCCAAGTTGACCAACCTGTCGGTGGTCATGGATGAAAAGCTTCGGACTTTGTAAAAATCCAGGGGGGGAGGTATGGACTCCCCCCTGAAACAGTGAACGAAAACTTTCGCGAATCGATGGGAAAATTTTCTTAAACATTTTTTTTCGCGAAAATGAATAAAGAATATTACTTATTCGCCTAGTACTCATTCGCTTAGTATTCATTGCCTAGTACTCATCTGCCAAGTACTCATTTGCCTAGTACTCATTCGCCTGTATAACAGTTTGCCTGTATAACATTTGCCTGTATAACAGTTTGCCTGTATAACAGTTTGCCTTTATAACATTTTGCCTGTATAACAGTTTGCCTATAAAACACTTGAGTGTATTTTTCGCCTAAACCGTGAATTTCTTGAAACACTGCAAATTTTGTCAATTTTTCAATTTAGTTCAAATGTGTGTGTTATTTTAGGGTTAGGTAGGGTTAAGACAGTTTCAAGACCGAGAGCTGCGACAAGGATAGACCAGGGGGCCGAGCGTTGCAGTTTCTAGTTCAAATGAACATAGAAATAGTTCAAATGAACCCGAAAAAATGCTATATTGCAAATAATTCACCATTTGTTACACAGGCAAAATGATAAGTAGGAAAAATGTTATACAGGCAAACTGATGTATAGGCTAATTGTTATACAGGCGAATGAGTACTAGGCGAATGCGTATTATGTGAATGAGTACTAGGCGAATGAGTAATAGGCGAACGAGTACTAGGCGAATGAGTACTAGGCGAATACGTAATAGGAGAATGAGTACTAGGCGAATGAGTACTAGGCGAATGACTACTAGGCTAATGTGTACAAGGCGAATACGTAATAGGCGAATGAAAACTTGGCAAACGAGTACTGAGTGAAAGTGTAGAAGGCAAATTGTTACTTATCAAAATCCAAATAGTTTTCTTTATTTTATTGTTTTCCGTAATCTTTATTTTCAGTATTTTCCACCATCTTTAATTTTCATTATTTTTCACCAGCTTTAATTTTCAGTATTTTCCACAATCTTTAATTTTCATCATTTTCCACCGTCTTTAATTTTCATTTCAGTATTTTTCACCATCTTTAATTTTCAGTATTTTCCGCCATCTTTAATTTTCAGTATTTTCCACCATCTTTAATTTTCAGTATATTCCGCCATCTTTAATTTTCAGTATTTTCCACCATCTTTAATTATCATTATTTTCCACCATCTTTAATTTTCAGTACTTTCCGCCATCTTAAATTTTCAGTATTTTCCACCAGCTTTAATTTTCAGTATTTTCCACCATCTTTAATTTTCAGTATTTTCCGCCATCTTTAATTTTCAGTATTTTCCACCATCTTTAATTTTCAGTATTTTTCACCATCTTTAATTTTCAGTATTTTCCGCCATATTTAATTTTCAGTATTTTTAGTTCTTGAAACTTTACTTATTCCATGAAGATAAATGTTTGTTGCAGAGAAACATAAAAGACTGGAGGAACAACTAAACATATGTTTAATCTAACTTCTAAAAAGTAAATTAAACTTGTAAAATTGAAATGAAAACATCTATATTTAGCTTAGAAACCCACACATTTTAAGGTTAACATTTTAAGAATGTGATCATATTTTACGACATATTTTCTATCATACAAATTATTTTTATAATATGGATATGTATATATCCAAAACTAAGCTTTGATGATTTCAATTGTCAACATTTTCTCTTTGTATATATATTGTAATACAAAAACAATTAAAATTCCTGATTTTATAAATAAAGATTTTCAACATTTAATAAAAATCGAATTTTGTTGGAGGCAAATTTGTGAAATTTTGATCATTTATAAACCTTCCCTGGGGAGTGGGGACATGTCCATTCGAAACAAAAAATTTAGACCCGATCGGCTCAGCCCTTTTGACGTTTATTGGAAAGAAACAAACAAACAAACGAACACCCACCCAGAATAGCAAAGAAGAAGATATAATATTTGTCTTTTTTCTTGGTTTGTTAAAGCATGTATCCAAAAAGTTTGAAAACGCTGAGCTGATTACGCCTAAATTTCTAGTGGTATATATCTAAAGGTTTCTAAACAGTTCACTTTGAAAAGTTTGAAAACAGTTAGTTTCTAAAAAACAGAAAATCCGCGAAATTTACGAAGATAAATTACCGTTTAAAAAAACAATATTAAAGACAAAATTTTTTACTGAAAAGATACGCGAAGCACCGTAAATACCTAGTAGAGTAAACATATATAAAAGATTAGAAAGATAAACTTCTTTTTCTGAGATATATAATGATTTTACTCTCTTTCAATGTTTTCTCCCGGTTCATTTTCTTCATCATTAATTTCCCAGTTTGGGGTCCAACTGAAAAAAGAAAATATAACATAGAAAATAGAGAATAGAAAATATAACATAAAAAATAGAAAATAGAAAATAGAAAATAGAAAATAGAAAATAGGATTATTTAGAAAAGTTAATTGGGAATTAGAGGAGGTCATCAATTATCTTTTTTGAAGTTTTACATTGGACAGAACCAATCCCTGAATTCTTAAGGTTTATGGAGTCTAATATGAAGACATTTTTTACCCAATAGCCTTTTTTCAAGGAGCATTTCCCAGTTTACAGTTCAAAAGCAATGAGAAATTTACAAAAAAACTTATTTTTATATATCTCGTTAATTTGAACTTTAAATGATATTTGTGAGGTCAAGACCCCCCCCCTTCCAAAAATCTAATTACACATATTTGATTTGAATTTTTGATAAAGATATAATAACCAGCTTAAAAATCATAGATCACAGCTAAATAAATAAACAAAGAAAACTGTAAATGGTTTTCAAATTTTCGTTTAATCTCTTTGGCGAAATTTTTTAACTTTCCTTAAAATCCTAGGTTTTCGCCAAATCTTTTTACAAATCATCTTCGCGAAATTGGAACCTTAAAGTCTAAGTATCAAAGTTGGTTTAGCTCCTCAATTTGCCAAATGCACCATCCCTTACTCATGGCAGTTACAGAACAATTTAATTCAAGTGACTGTAACCAGTCGTGCTTTATAATAGGATGACACACAAAGGATGAGATGTATGAGACAACATTAAAGTCTTTGCTTATTAATTGAATTTACCCTGCAGCTATTAAACACTTATTTTTTCTTAATTGAATACACCATTCACAAACTTCGTTCACTAATCAGGGATGAAACTTCAATCTTCAGATCGTCATAGTTAAAATAGTTTCAAGTCGTCATTCAAGCATTATTTTTTGTTGGTAGCGCACGTTATTATCTATTATATTAGTAGAGATGAAGGCTCTGACACAAACTTCAGTTGAGACAAAGGATAAAGGAACAGCTTCTGGCCAAAGAGTAGTTCTGCTATCATTGTTAGGATTTATGAAAAGTTTTGACTAGATGGCAGGGGTCCCACAATATTGCTGTCCTGACACCAGATCTTGAAGTGGAGGGTTGTGCTGGAAAGACCAAAACTGAAGCTCCATAATAAATTAGACACCTCCTGGAATTTAGTGAATCCTGAAAGTAGACTAGAGGAGTAGAGGGACCGGCAGGTAGGAAACGCACATCCTCCTGCCGGAGAACAAGTTTCCCAACCAGGAGCAAGGAGCTCTACATTTCTAGGCTTGTAATCCCTATGAATGATGGTAACAACAGTGGGTAGGGGACTAAGAATGGCTGTCCAGGAGATTGTTGGCATGTTGAGTAGCTGAATGGCCGGGCTGGTTTTGATGAAGACTTAACAGTGTTGAGGGAAAACTACTCGTCTGAAACATTGGAGACGGAGAAAACTAATGACTAATCTAGTAAAACTAAATATCTATTTTAGCATCTGGAAAATATCTGGTGAGCTGGAACCTCTGGTCTCACACCCCATCGAGTTCTGATCAAGTTCACTAAATATATATATATTTGTGTCTAAAATAAATTAGCCTGTATTAGGTATATTTATTTTATTGTTATTTATGTAAATATTCCTTGCTACTTCATGATTAAATTGTTTAAATTTATTTCTAGACTATATTATATCTGGACATTTATATTGTCAAGGAATTATGCTGCATTATTGTGGTACTCAGTATAACTTGTGAACATTTATCACTTTAAACTTCTTTACAGGATGAAAGGGGAGACGAGACTCTTATCCTCCCTCTTTATAAAAATCCTCTACTCTGTGTCTTTAAACGATCAAAAGGTGCAACAATTTAGTTATTTTATATTTATTATATGTAATAATCACACAAATTGATTATATAGTTAGTAATATCTTAATAGACTGTTAAAATAATAGAAGTCATATTTTGATATGTGTCAAATAAAGAATATGAAAATTTTTACTCTTACTTAAAGCAAGTCTTTTGAGATTAGAAAAGCTGCAATTGATTTTATTAGGCATATCACTAAGATTAGAATCAAATCATAAAAAAATTCAAAGAAGTTAGTTAAAATGCTGATGTATAAAAACATAATGGATAAAAAATCTAAAAAGGTGTTCTCTGGGCACAACAATCTTAAATAATGAATTAACTTAAACCTATTAAATTGAGAAAGGGATTCTTAGACTCTTAACTATTATTAACATAAATGTTGATAATAAACCATTGAATTGCAGAATCAGGAACTAGCTGTTCTGAGTTATGCTAGTTCATAAAAAGGTATAACAGTAGCAAACATTGTGCGTGATGAGAGTTTAAATGATGTGTGCTGTTGTAATTTATTAGCATTATTCAAATCCAGCTTGCTATATCCACCATCTTCTTTCCTAGTCTTTCTTCTTTAGATATCTGTGTAGGAAGATGAAGTAAAGAACTTCCATTCCACTCAGTAAACAGAACCCATTGCAGAGACCAAAGGTTCCTCCCACCAGTGCTAGAATTGGGAAATATAATTTTCATATTGTCTGATGTTCAGATGGCCAATAACTTGATTAGTTTTTTAAAAGGTTTATGAACTTTTAAAAGGTTTCAGCAAAAAATTGATAAATGTTACAACTTTCAAAATTGTTTACTCTATATATACATTTGCTTTCTCTAAATATTGTCAAATGTTAACCCCGCCCTGGACTAACCAGAGCAAGATGCCTTTAGTTTCCTCTACTTTTGATCATGTGTTGGTCTACAAATCAAAAATTTTTAAACCAAAGGAGTTGTCTAGCTTTACTTGTTCATTTAAAACGCATGCTTACAAAAATGTATAAATAGAAAAGCTGAGTAATTTAAGCTTAAAGGGTCAAATTGAGATTGAAAGTCACAACTTGCTTGTGAGAAGATAAATTTAAACTAAAATGTATTAGTTCAAGGTTTTGTGGGCAGGGGAAGATACCTTCCAAACTTTGAATTTTCCCCACACCATAATTCACTTGTATGCAATTGTTAAGAACTTTGTTACATTTGTAATTGATATGTTATACAAATATGAAGATACCCACCCCACTTTTATTCTTTCCTACCCTCCCTTCCCTACTCCTTTCATACCTACAGTACTGCTAAAATTGAAAAGATATTTTAAAATGTTAACCAAGGTATTGTACATTACTAGTTTAAAGTGTAAAGATGTCTTCTAACTTCCTTTGTTTTTGTTACGTAACATACCCAGGATATCTACCCAACCAAACAGCTGGTCCTTTGAATACTTGGTCACCCCAACTTGTTTGAAAAATACATGAACCAAGGAGTTTTTTAACATCTTCTTCTTGAAAGTCCTGAAATAATGAGTTGGACAATATTATAAGAAGCTTTTGAAATGACTGATAAACAAAGTAATTACTTACTCTTCAACACAACTATCCCGATCATAGTATTGGTCAAAGGCATCATACTCCTGCTTGTAGATCTGGTTTGAAGCAGTACAATTTCCACCTCGATTGCAAAGTATCTTGCTGAACCATGCCTTTAAATTTAAAGTCTGACATTGTCACTTTCAATTAAGTTTGAAGGAGAGACTGACTAGGCAACCAAGAGTGCAGTATTATAGAGGTAAATTTTCCCAGAAAGGATGGTTTGCAGAAGATATGTTTATTACAATTATTTAAGAATTATGAATATTAAATTGAATAATTAAAAAAAAAAAATTCTGTGGACTATCTTTTCTGGTCAAATTTAACAATCAAATTTGTGCTCTTTCTTAGAAATTATACACAGTAAAAACATCTCATTGTTTTTTAATCTATCCAAAACATGTTCTATATAATACTGCACTCTCAGTTCAAATTTGCTACCTCGCCTGTCTCTCCCTTTAAAAGATAATTCATGTATTGTTATTAATTAAATTCTTAATTTAAAAAAGTGGTTGTTCAAACTTACATTATTGTTATCCACAAGTGCAACTGAAGTGATTTCCTGTAAATGGAAAACAATTTATATTAAAATAAAGCATATGTTATTTTATTCATCAGATTGCTTGGGCAATCTCAGATTTAATAGAAAAAAAGTGGAACAGGGACGAATGTAATGAAATTAAATAGGTGGGGTGGTTAGTCTGTGTAACCAGTTCTGGTGAGATCACTGAAGTATAGCAACCTTATAACTTCCACATTGTTAGTCATAGGTTCAAACCCCAGAACCTCGCACTTATAAAGATATTGCAGAAATATCACAAACAAAAAAGTTGTACATATGCCCTTATTTGTAAAATGAATCCAATGTCTACTGCCTCTTCAAATTTGAAACTCTGAGGCTGGCTAAACCATCCCAATTCCTTCGAGTACAGCGATTTGGACAACCCACCCAAATTGTCAGGAAGAGTCCCTTTAAAAACTTTGAACTTTTAGAATAAGCGTGATACGAGCCTGGTACGAGTGAGCGCAAATGAATAGAGGACCCGCGAAGGAGCGGTGGACGAGTAAAGCGCGGCACCGAGTTTTCTTTGGGCCTTACAGAGCCTAAAAAGTTCACTTCCATACCGATCGGCGTAGTAAAAAGTAAAATTAAACATTTTTGTATTTCAGACATATAAAATGGGAGTCATGCGATAGTATGAGCTTCCAGGTTAGAATTGTATAGGTTATAAACTTACACAATTTTATACAAAACACCAATTCAAATCCTTCCTGAATCGTTTTAAATTGTGGTTTAAAATTGAACCAGCAGTAGATAGTTCAGACACCTCTAGCTAGCTAAAAGTTAATAATTTCCATCCCTGTCCAAAATTATAAATGCCCATTTAGACCCAAGTAAAGCCTCAGCAGAGAACTAACTATGTCTGAACTTTTGTTTTGTGAATCTGTGGATCAATATTAAGTATTTATCCTTAAATTAAAAATTGCCCACAGGGGTTCAAGATTAACAATACTCCTTTACAAATGTGTTGATCTCAAGAGTTAATCATAGCTCTGAATGCCAACCTGAGTATACAATGTTTGATCACAGTCATCAGGACAATCACAGATAATTCCATCTAGAACTCCAGGGTGTCCAGTCACTTTGTCTTTTGTCTTTCCAACATTTGCATTTAACAGGCCTGCAACAAAAATTTTTACAGTAATTTGGCCATACTGTTCGAGCAATTAAACTAATTACCAGGAGATTTTAACAGCTTAAACCCAAGTTAAATCTGAGATGAGTTTTTAAAAGCTTAAACCTGAGAAAACCCTAGTCTTTGAGGCTGCTTAGACCCAAGTAAAGCTCAAGTCAAGACCCGGGTTTTGGATGGCCTTGAGTTTAGTAAAAACCAACCATCTTGGGTTTCTCTCTCTTTAATTCTCATTTCTTCTGCAGCTGATGATCATAAATTTTGTAAAATCTTTTATATTTGTACATTTAAAATTTGGGAATCCTTTGTGTTGTCAAATTTTATTAAATATATAAAATAAACATACTATGAAAATCTGGTCTTAGCGTCTACTTAGATCCAAGTAAAGCTCAAGTCAAGACTTAGGTTTTTTATGGCCTCGAGTTTAGTAAAAACCAACCATCTTTGGGTTTTAGTTCTCTAAGTCTTGGGTCTTCAAAAGTTGATGATCATAAATTTTGTAAAAACTATTATATTTGTAAATTTAAAATCTTGGAAATGTTTTGTAATGTCAAATTTGATCAAATGTATGAAATAAACATATACTATGAAAAGAATGCATCTAAGTAAAGTTTGAATTTTCGAAATTTACATCTCCTTGCCTCAGCTGATCTCACGACAATCTGTCTGCTACAGAGAGAAAGCTTTCTAAACAGTCTCTCATTGTTTGAATCTGAACCAATCCTGACTTGGTTTCTATCTAAGCTCGAGTCCATGTTTTACAACTTGGGTTTAAGCTTTTAAAATCTCAGAGCACTGGTGTATTTCAGAAAACATAGCTTAGGGGTGTTACTTCTAAAAAAGTCAACTGTCACATGTTCCTTCCAAAGAGCCATAGGCATTTTACACTTCTAGACTGATTTTATTTTTGCAATTGAGGGATAATAAGCTATAATTTCTAAAAATCAGTTTCTCGTTAAGGTATTAGTTAATAGCCTACTCTAAACCATACAACCCTCATATTTCATTTCACTTTGAACATGTGTAATATTTATCGCGTATTGTGTTTACCCATCAAATACCTCTTTCCTTAATTAAGCACTGAAGCTGGTCAAAAGTGCATGCTGTGTTGTTCCCCTCAGTCATGTATGCAGCAACAAATTTCTTTGGAAATTGAGGAAAGTAATACATCAAGCAGTTGCAGAGATGAAGGGTAGCTGCAGCTCGACATTCCAGCAAGCAGTTGGCCTATAGATCATCATGAATTAACTTTTCAGTCTATCCAGCGGTTTTGAAATATAAGAAAACGCTAGGTTGTTTACTTTCTCATGGGATCCAAGAGTTTCTCTTAGTTTATGATTTTTGTAATTCAAGTTGATTTGCACAAGTTAAGAAGTAATTTATGTGAGTATAATTTTGGACTGATATAGTGCAAATTCATTCATCTATGTCTTAGTTCTTAAACACTGTAAATTCTTTTAGCTTAATTTCCATGTGCTCATTTGCCAAAGTAAAAATTTTTAATTTGTGGCATTGTTATAGTTACTAGTAAGCTCAAAACAAAGAATTAAATTCCAAAAATTGCTTTCCCTGCTTTCTACCATTATAATTGCATTCTAACCACCCACTAAAGGTAACAGCATAAAACATGATATTTAAAGAAACCATATATACAAATCTGTCTAAGATGTGAAATCATAAGGTTGTATTGGGAAGTGTGCAATTATGCAACAATACAATGATAGGGTTTCTCTAGCAAGTATTCAATCTACAACTGTGTAATGCTGGCTATTTTTCTTCTCTAGTTGTGCAAATACACAATATACAAATATATTTAAGATCAGGTGATATGTACTGTACAATTTCTAATTTCTAAACTTATGTATAATTTGACGATTTCGAGGGAAAGGCATGGCAAAAGTTTATCTATGGATGAAAAGCAATTTCACAGTTCTCATATAATGTAAGATGACAGAACATATGGTTTTTGTTGCATAAGATTCTTTAATCAGAATTTTACTATTACCCACAAGATAAGGTTTTCATGTAGTGGCCTAAAAATTCAAAAATATGATTACATCTGAAAAATAATGCAAAGAAATAGTATGTTATCAAAAAGTAAATCCCAATCTCTAAAACGTCAATAACACAATAGCTAACCTGACTGTAAGACTTGAAAACATTGAGGTTCACATTTAATTCCGGTACATTGATCTCATTTCCCAGGAGACAATCTCTTCTTGTAGTGGACATTGATTCCACACTTTCCGTTCTTAATCATTAAATAAATTTAGCATTGAAAATTAAAACCAACTTTAGGAATACACAGCAATTTTGCGTACTTTTCCAGGGGTGTATATTTTCTTGAAAAATTGTTTTTTCTTTTATTCTTTTGCTTTTTTTAATTTAGTTTATGGATCAGGGACCAAATTTTCCAATAGTGAGATATGGTGTAACCATTTCTCTTTAGAATGAACGGCCATTCAAGAGAAGTGGTTTATCTATGTCAATGCAGTTCAGCTATTTTTTGCTATTTATTAAATCTGTCCCAGAAAGCAGACTATTACAAAACGAAAAAGACAAATGTTTAAATTTATTCTTTTATAAATTTCTTTACTTACGATTTTGTAACTTGTGCAGACAATGCAATAAATGTCTCTGTTCCTCCATTGATGGGGATTGATTTAGTTGATACCTCTGGGAACTCATCAGGAGAATGAATCAGAACCTTTAAATCACAAGTAATCTCAATTGTGGGATAGCAGGGATTGTTAAATAATTACCTTAAACCCAGTGAAAAAATTAGTTGAAGTGTGTTCATCCCATTCATTAACAAATTCGTCCGCAAAATTTGGATCAACAACAAAGGAGAACCCAAGATTGGGACCAGCAAGGTTTGTATGATATATTACATTCTCCTTCTTGGTCACATTCATCGGTTTTGTTGGAGCCACAGATGGAGTAGCTTCTCTAGTTGACTCTGAAGTAATATGAACAAAGTTATCTTTCCTTTCTGTTTTCCTATTTGTTTCTCTCCTGGCAAATTTTAGGGAAATCATTGAAAAATTTACCTGGTTTTGGGGGTTTAGGTTTGTTTAAACACAAATTGTCAGGATCTTTCTCATAGCTGCAAACAATATTATTTTATAAAACTATTGTGTACATTCAAATCATATGTTTACTTTGATGTGAATTTTATCATAAAGCTGTTATTATGAAGTTTACATTGGCACAAATTGTAAAAAAGTTTTGACCTACGTTTTTTTCTGTATCTAATAAAAAAGAGAAAGTATTACTTACCCAGCAAGGACCCCATGATATTTGAAAGGAGGGGAGGTCTGAGAATCTGAATTAGAATTGAACAATTAAGTTAATAAGGATTTGGGAAAGATTAAATGATTAAAGATAAGTGGCTGAACTACCAACAGTTCAACTACTTTTGATAGTTCTTACAGGATCAATTAATGAATCACAGATTCAAAGTTTAATTAAAAGTACAAACATGTATCTTGCAATTTTTAAATTAGGTCCCATGACACTTTGCCTCTTCCTTTCCGTTTAATTATCTGCCTTCTTCCTTAAATGATTGATCAATAAAAATTTAACATTTTGCAGATTTTTATGTTTTCTCAGAATCAATTCCAAAACAGAAATTTTAAAAACAACCTGCTGTGCCTTCTGAAGTGCTTGAACTATCTTCACTGGCTTCAACATGAAATAGAAATTACAAACGAAAACATCAAAAAAAAAAAAAATTGAAATTGTTATACAACCACCTGGAGTATTTGTGCTATCTTCACCGTTTGAAGTGGTATCTTCAGTTGAAGAATTAGGTTCTTCATCGTAATTTCCATCAGAGTAATCATCACCATAGTCACTGTAATAATCTTCATCCACACCTTCACTACTTTGCTCCTACAGGTAATAACCAAAAAAAATATACTTTGATTAATTTGTAGATTCATGAAGGCAGTCTTTGATCAATTTAAAATGAGAAAAGATGTCTGATTTACAACGATACCCTTGAAAGCTTTGTCTTATCAAGTGTGAATTATATATCTTAATGATTTGTTTTCTTTAAACTGTTTATTTTCCTTTGAGGGTTCTCTGTTACTTGCTATCATTCCTGGAAAATATGAAAATGTCGTCTTCATTATCAAAAATCATCGAAACAGGAATAAATGTTTTCAAAAGTAACTCTCAAATCATGAAAAAATACAAAATATTATGAAATATTAACTTTATACGAATGCGTCGAAAAATAATCGATGACTATTGTTTGTAATATCTGAATGATTTGTTAGGAATTAAATTGATTTGTTTACGATCCAAGTTGAATGTTGCATCTTTCTGAATTTGTATGGACACTACGTTCTTCGGTATTTAGTCGTTTTAAATAATTTTCTCCTTATAGACGCAACAGATAGAAGTAAGATTAGTAGCGATCAAAAGAGCTTTTTTTATCGCATTAAGCCTATACCCACTTTCATTGTTCGCGAACACTCCCTTTATATCGGACATTGCGATCTTTGCATGGAGGTTCACTTGAAATAACGTTTACAGTCCCTTTAATTGAATTTTTGTTGTGCAATGAGTAAATAATATTCTTATGTAATGTATAAATTATCAACAATATTATTTCGAAATTTTTCTATTATGGATGATGATGTTTGAAATTTAAAGAAAGCAAAACTTCAAAACCCTAACCTCAACTTGTACATAATTTTTATTAAACCCTTTCATTTTTAAAATAAAAAACGTATTTTCTAATTAAATGCTCATTTCATTTATAGTGGTAAACTTTACTATTTAATCAGTTTTTCATTTGATCTTTTGATTAAAATTTAGGAGCAGAATGACAAACATTAAAAATTAAATAACTCTCCCTTCTCAAAGTTGTCAGCAATATTGATGGTGTTAAATGAACAGCAGAATCCAGAATCTGTTTTTCTCATGTCAACTAAAACATATATATGCTTTAAAAGGGCCTTATATCAAAGGAATTTAAGTTTTCATTTACTTTATTTTGAAAATTGAAAAAATATGAATTTTTAAACTTACTAAAGTCTTTGCATTCAACTTTTTTCCCTTGCCATTCACAGTAGAGGAACATACGATCACAGCTTGGAACAATCTAATTACAGCGCTGATTGTAGAAATCCTATTTATTTTTGTTTTAATATCAAACTGATCAAAAGCATTTAAAAATTAGGAACATTTTGTTCTCAATTTCTAATCGAATTTTAGGGAATGGCATCAACATCTTGAACTGTTGTCCAAAATGTTTCCGATCCCATCGCAATATGACTATGATAATAAACTTTTACTCTAAGGCAAGCCTTTCAAGGGTTAAAATACGAGTTTACTACGCATGGGTACTCCCAAATAGGTTGTCAAGTACAATAGATGGCAACACAGAATGCGTACACTTTCAGTACAGCTGTTTAAACGTCATAAGTGTCAACTCAAATTGCATGGCTAGGTGTAAAATATCTATACCTGGGCCATAAATGAAGATATGTTGACATCCTCCTTAACCATAATCTTCTCTGAACCTTCAGATTTTACAACTAGATCCGGATCAGACTCGAACTTGACAAGGTTTGTTACTAACTAACAGTAAGAATTGTTTGATTAAACCTAGCTTAAAGGGACTGTTGACGTAATGTAAGTAGTTAAAAAGTAGCATGCCCGATTCACAACGCCTTGAAAACATTTATCTAAAATTAGCAAAGAGAAATATATCAGGGGTTTTCTCTAATAAAACGAGATCATTTTCTTCTTTGTTCTTTGTTTGTCCATGTAAATCTGCAAATAAATAACATTTGTAAAATCATCCATTTTCAGATAGAAATTTAGCTCAGACGAAGGCAATCAGAATGCAATCTGTTTATTAAAGACTATAAATGATTATAATTTATGTCGGAACAGCAAATAACAATACAAATTTATGTCGAGGGATAGCCAATAACTATAGAGATTTATGTCGGAAAAGCAAATGACTATTAAAATTCATATCGGAATAGCGAAAGACTATAAAATTTATACTGGGATAAAAAATGACTAAAAACATTTATGCCGGAAAAGCATTTGACTAAAACCAATTATATATCATAACTTGTAATAAGTTTCCATATAAATATTTATACGGAAAGTATAAACGTGCTCATGTAGAAATGTAGGTAAAGTATAAACAGAATCATGTAGAAATGTAGGTAAAGTATAAACGTGATCATGTAAAAATGTAGATAAAGTATAAACGTGATCATGTAGAAATGTAAGTAAAGTATAAACGTGATCATGTAGAAATGTAGGTAAAGTATAAACAGAATCATGTAGAAATGTAGGTAAGGTATAAACGTGATCATGTAGAAATGTAGGTAAAGTAAAAACAGAATCATGTAGAAATGTAGGTAAAGTATAAACGTGATCATGTAGAAATGTAGATAAAGTATAAACGTGATCATGTAGAAATGTAGGTAAAGTATAAACGTGATCATGTAGAAATTTAGGTTAAGTATAAACGTGATCATGTAGTAATGTAGGTAAAGTATAAACGTGATCATGTAGAAATATATTCTTTTGTTCCTGATGTAGATCCTGTTTATCATAGTTTTTCCAGGGATCTTTCTGAACATTTTTTACTTTTTTCCGAAAGAACCAAAGTATAATTGAAAAAAGTCCCAAAGAAGTTTATGAATATGAAGAAACTAGATAAATTGTATTAAAATTAAGTTTCATGTAGGCGTGCCCAACATTTTTATTCAGACTTGACCAATTAGTTGTTGGTTTATATTCAAAAATGTCAAAACAGCTGAACTGATCAGGCCTAACTTTTTTGTGGTAACGCAAAAGAATATTTGAAATAAAAATTTTTCAAAGTTCTATTTTGTTTTAAATTTTTTGAAATCCACAATGTTTTAACATTTACAATTACAGTTTACTGGAAGTCCAGTACTAAAATACTTAACCATTCAAAATAAAAAAGATAAAAAAATTTCCTTAATTCTGTTCTCAAAGTTCTTGTTTGAAATCCTAAACATAATTTTATTTAATGATTTACTAATTCACTTTCTTGGTTTGCTGCATTTGCAAACACATCTTTTTAATTTCCAATTGGATTTTAAAGTTTTTTATATAAATGCAGAAGGCGGCAAAAATAAACCTTTAGTAGTAAAGGGTAGATTCATTGCTTAGATTCAAAATCGTATTCAATTGCACATTGATCCAAAGGTTGCCAACCCTCACTAAAAAAAATAAAAGAATCTTTACAAATTACGCCTTTGAAAAAAAAGCAAAAAATAAGTGATTTTTAGCTCTAATTGTTCATTGTAATACATGTCTAGGACTACAAATTACTTTATGTGATTTAGTGAGATCAAAATCAATGCCCATGAGCTTTGAGATAATATACCAAATGCAACCCAGTCTTGAAAATTGATTCAACTATTCAGAAGTAATCATTACNAAACACAAAACTTATCAACTACAAAACTTATCAAACTATAAAACGTATCAAACTCAAAACTTATCAACAAAATTCATGAATCTAAAATTTCAAATCATGGAAATGTTCAAACAATTGTTTAAAAATCCGCGAATTTTCAAAAAAAAATTCGGTAAACTCTTAGTTTCCCGGCCCCTTTACCCGAGATGGAGGCAAACTTTGTTCTCTCTCAGAAGGGTACAAACTTAGTTAAGGATGATAAAAACGAGCTGTACAACAAGTACAGAGAGAGCAAGGACAAGACCCTGGTGACCTTCCTGGTGAACACACATCCGTTCAATATTGCCAGCCTTTTTATAGATGAAAACTGATTTTTATATATAAATTAGCAAAAATAGAAAATATATTTTCTGTAAAATAACAACTGAAAAACTGATCAATCAGCATAATCAATCTTTTTAATACATTAAATTCTTTTGTTTCACTTATTTTAATAGACTTCTGTTCAGTCGTTTTTGAGAAAATTAATTATATTGGCATAAGTCATTATATTACCCTATCCCTGCTGGGGTACTTGAAAACCAGGATATGCTGGNGTAAGATAATTGTAACTATGGATATTTTACCCTGGTAAAATAATTGTAACTATGGATATTTTACCCCGGTAAAATAATTGTTTGAACTTTTGATATTTTACCTTCTGCATAATAGGTAGAAGCATATACACAAAAAATGCAAAGCTGATGATCTCAAATATAACCCAGAGAAGATGACCTATCCAGTGAACACCCTCCTTGGCGAAATAGAGCAATTATTAATTTTTTGGATATTTTTTATATCTTATTTAATGTTTATTATTTCATCAATTCATTTTTGTTTACCCAGAAAAACAAATTGCATCAAATTCTATAAATATCTAATCTAATCCCTATATATTTATCTTTAATGTTGTACACAATTGAAATCTCAAACTTTGACTATAAAATATTTAGCGTTAGAAACTTAGAATTCTACAGTTTAAATTATCAAAAGTCTGCCTTCATTACCACGCATTTATTTTTTTTAGTCATTTCAATCTTTTTTTGTTTTTAACTGAACGTTCATTCAATGAAATTCTTTGTTCAGTAAGATCGTTTGTTTAGCAAAATCGTTCATTTCGTAAAAGGGTTCGTTTAAAAAATTATATAAAAAAAGGTTTGTTTAGTCGTTTTAGCCTATTAAACATCGCTGTTTTATGTTAAAAAATTGCTTCTATAAGGCAATCCTATAAATGGGGGGNAAGTAGGCCTAAGATTAAAAAATGTGCTCAGTCTATTTTCAAAAGATTTTAAAAGAAATTTAAAATATAATTTTACTTTAATGTTTTGGAAAACAGAATATAATAAACAGAATAACAGAATTTAGCACTTTTTAAAGAAATGACAAAAAAGGGCATTTTAGAACAAAATCTTTCAACGACGATCCCCCAATTTATACGTGTCCAAATTTGTCACTTTTCAGTACAATAAACGACGTTTAAAGGGGTAAAAAGCGATTGATATCTTCGAAAATGGGACTGATCACATTTTCGAATTTAAGTCCTAATTTTGAAGGTTAAAACGGCATTTTAGAGAAAAATGTTTAACGACAATTGTACTTTTCTAGATGCAGTTTTTAACACAATACAATTATGTTTATTAGGCTAAAAAGCTTAAACACACTTTTTTCAGAGACAATTTGCTTTTTATTTCTCGAAACGATCCATTTAGTTTGTTCGCCGTTTGTTACTTTTTCTGAAGGACATATTCGTTAATTCTGAAATGTTTGTTTAATATTCACAATTCTGCATACTTGTCCAGATAAACATATTTACTTAGTCTCATAGAATTCTTCGCTAATGGAATACAATTAGTCAAAAATTGTATAGGGTGGGTCAAAAAGTTTTGCGACTTTGGCGACATTTTTCTTTACAGACCACAAATCTACAAATAATTTTTCTTTCTTTTCTTAAAAACTCAAAATGGATTTGTCTAACGCAAATCGTCAAAATTTGTTTTAATAATTTTATGGTCTGGAATAATTTACCCCTATTCCTGCTGGGGGGGGGGTCAATTTGACCCCCCCTGTAGTTTTTTTACATAACTCAAAAAGTATTGGTCTGAGGCTATTGAAGTTTTCTGAATTTTTCTACATACCCAAAGCCCTCCCTTAAGGCCTAAAACCGGGCTTTAATACTAACTGCCTGAGTCCTCAGGCACACTGTCTGAATGACTGCTTTTTCTTGTAACAAACTAAATCTTTGTTTTTGTTTTCAAGTACCCCAGCAGGGATAGGGTTAACGATCAAAGTATTTTTGTTGAACTTAAAGATTTAACATTTTTACATTTAGAGTGTTCCGTCAAACATTAGATTTAATAGACGAATTAAAGACAAAGTACTTTTCAAGTTTAATGAGCCACACTGTACGAATAATGTTTAAAGCGGAAATACGTGCACGGACTCTGTAAAGGGATATAATTAGTTTGTTTATCATTATTTGTCAAACTATTAAATATTTCGATGCATATGAATTAATTTAACATTTCTAAGTAGTTTTATGCAAACAAATGTATTTTATGGGTATATTCTTAACATAGGTGTACTGGTGTCTTGGCATTTTTGGGACCTAGTGCACGCGACCTTCCATCCCTCGCCTAGTACGCTCCTTGAATTTATGTGTGCACTGTATACTATACGTTCGTTGCTATAATGTAAAATAACATTAATCAACGTAACTTTTGAGAAAGCTGATAACGTTAAAAATATGTTATTTAACGTCAATTTACGTTATTTAACGTTAAATGACGTAACATAATAACGTTATGTAACATAAAAGTGGGTTCGTTTTTAAATTCCTGGAACGTAAAATAGTGACGTTAATTAACGTTAATGAGTCCTAAAAGGAACGGTATCTAACGCTTTGACAACGTTATTTGTCTTGTTGGGTGTGCAATTATGAATTCTGGGATGTATAGTTATCATGCTTAGTGGGACACCTTGTTCATTTATCATGTTTTCCAGAACACCCTGTATAGATAGGCTAAGTGAGAAACCATGTTCATTTCTCATGTTTTGCAGGACACCCTGTTTAGATATTAGACTTAGTCGTACACTATGTTTTTTTTATTATGTATTATGGGACATGTCTTATTCATTCATTTTTTATTGGAACACCCTTGTTATTAATTATGTTTATTGGGACACCCACATACGTAATAAAATTACCTCTGTAATGAACCTGGTCCCTGCTATGGTACTGTTATCCATGTAATCCTTAAACTTAAAAAAAAAAAATTTTATTTGAATCAAATTTTTTCTCTCTGTTTGTTTAAATCGTATTCAAAAATCTGAATTACTTTAATGCCGGTTAATATTTTTCTAGATTGTGACTGCTACTAATCTTAATTCTATCTGTTGCGGCTGTAGGGAGAAATTGTTAAAAACGACTCATACGAAAGAACTCCAAACAAATCATTCAGATATTACAACAACCTGTAATTTAATCGATTTTTTCGACTTATTTGTATATATGATATTTCATGATATTTTTTATTTTTTATGATCTTACTCTTGAAAACGTTCATTCCTGTTTCGAGGATTTTTGATAATGAGGACAACATTTTCATATTTTCCAGGAATGTTCGAAAATCCAGCGGCAGCTATGAAAACAAGTTTTAATCAAAATATTATAGTTTTTAGTATCTGAATGATTTGTTTGGAATTCAATTGATTTTTTACGATCCCAGTCGAATCTTGCAACTTTCTAAATTTGTATGGAGGCTTCGTACTTTGAAATGAGTCGTTTTTTTTAGCAATTTTCTCCTTGTAGACCAAACAGATAGAAGTAAAATTAGTAGCGATCATTATCGTATATTTTTTGACATGAGCCTATACCCCCTTTTATTTTTTGCGAACACTCCCTTTAAGAAAATCACTCGAAGGCATGATAAACATTTTAATGAATTTTTTTTAACTTTAAAAGTCTGGAACCTGGAACCATCCAAATGGTCACTGTAAAATTTAGCTTACTTCTGCATATGCTACAGTTTCCTTTCCGGATTTGCTATGCACATTTTGCCGAGAACCACTCCTGGGCACATACCAGGGTAGAGCATCAGGCATTTTCCTTTTATTTATCATATGAGGTCTGCGGTTGGAATTAAGTAATACCCACTTCTGGTGAGGTCTGGTCAGGTTTGGTCAGGTCTGGTCAGGTCTGGTCAGGTCTGGTCAGGTCTGGTCAGGTCTGGTCAGGTCTGGTCAGGTCTGGTCAGGTCTGGTCAGGTCTGGTCAGGTCTGGTCAGGTCTGGTGCTTTAACAAGAGCTTTATTTAAGAATATTTAACTTTAAATTTCAGAAATTTAAATGTTAATGCAACAATTGGAGAAAAAAAATTTAGGAAAGGTTTATTTGTGTGCATTTTTAACTACTATGTGGTAGTATTGGGTAATGTTACCTTGGAAAAAATGGAATGAACAAAAGTTTAAATTATACTCTCAAAACAATATGGTATGAGGTTAGTGGGATTTTAGAAAAAAAAGATTTTTAAACCTTTTTTTTCAGAAATAAGTGGTACTGCATGGGATAGTGAAATTTTGAAAAAATGAAAATTAATGAAGATTTATTAATTTTTTTCAAAACTATACACCTTGTATAAAAAACTGCTTTTTTACACGATTAGGAAAAAACATGACCCTTTGGTTTAAAAGGTATTTTATCCGGTCAGGTCAGAGCTGAAAACTTTAGAATAGTGGATATCGAGATTGATACTTGATCCTCTCTTTTTCTTAATATCGAGACTAACGTAATCTTGTACTTGTATCCTGAAAAGCGTATAAAATTCTACCAATCAGAGTCGCGTATACGAAGCCGATAAATTTGAAATTTTGCTCGCCATTTAAGATAGAAATGGGAGGAACTCTCTAATTTAGAAAAACCGGTTTTTGATTTTTTCTCTAATATATCCAAGAAAGAACGGTTTAGGAAAAAAATCAAAGTGTGTCCATTGGATACCCAGATTAATTAATCGAGTTTAAGGATATCTCATTCTAAAGTTTTCAGCTCTGGTCATGTTAGGTTACATCTGGACTTTGTATTTTATCCGGTCAGAGCTGAAAACTTTAGAATGGGATATCCTTAATCCTGATCGGATTATTAATCTGGTGATTAAAAATGAGAGGAGAACAAGCAATATTTAATCTGGAGATTAAGAAATAGAGTGGATTAAGCATTAATCCCGATATCCACCATTCTAAAGTTTTCAGCTCAGATCTGGTTATGTTAGGTTATACTTTGAATTTTATCCGGTCAGATCTGGTTATGTTCGGTTATATCTGGACTTTGTATTTTATCCGGTCAGATCAGGTTATGTTAGGTTATATCTGGACTTTGTATTTTATCCGGTCAGATCAGGTTATGTTAGGTTATATCTGGACTTTGTATTTTATCCGGTCAGATCAGGTTATGTTAGGTTATATCTGGACTTTGTGTATAAATAATCTATGAATTCATGTTCTCTGTTATGTGCTTATGTTACGACTGAATCCGTGGTCTCCATATCATGATTTCATAAATATTTAATTTGGGCTTTAAGTATACATTGCCCCCAAATTTAACATACATACTCAACTAAATGTCTATCACCATTACATTACCAACCAAATCAACCATTAATAGTATGTAATTTACTTTTTCTACGAACATTCTTTATTCTTTTATGACACTATTATAAAAATCATTCTTTAAAGTATAATAGAATTCAAGCACACAAATACTATATTTATATGAATACAGGGTTATCAACAAATAATTAAGCTATATAACGACGCCCAATCGAATACTTAAAATAACCAGAGGCCGAATTTAAAGAATTTGAGCTACGGCTTAAATTTAAACTGTGGCTCAAATATTGTTGGTTCCACTTAAAATTGAATTCAGTTTTTCAAGATTTAAGCTGGCGCCTAATTGAAACCCTTTTTTTTGGTGATTTAAGAGGCGGCTTAAATTCATTTAATTCGGACACAGATCTTAAAGTTTTAATCGGCCAATCACAATTATCATCAATTTTGTCTTTGTTTATATAAAGCTCCGCTCATATATATTTAAGTATTTGTACGTATGTTTATTTATACTTTTGAAACGTATTCAAATGAGTCCATAAATTAAAATTTTGGTTTTGCAAATATTACACCGGAAATTATTTTAGCAACAGTAATTAAGCTAAAACCCAAGAGCAGCTCAGGAAAAGACAATATTTCTACTAAACTACTGAAGGACATTATTGATTGGATCCATTATCCTATAGCACATTTATTTAATCTTTCTTTTAAAACAGGATACATCCCTAGCGAGTATAAATGTGCAAAAATTATTCCCATCTTTAAAGCGGACGAAAAAGATAAGTTTAATAATTACAGACCTATAAGTATTCTTCCAGCTTTGAGTAAGCTACTTGAAAAAATTTAATATTTATCTTAAGAATTATGAGAGGTTTAAATGCGAAAAAACTAGCTGTATATCGTGTAAATAAATTTTATATAAAAAAAACTAAAATAACTGAAACTTTTTTAGCTTATTTCTGTTTCTGTAACTACCATCATTAACACCCTGTATTTTAATTTATCTCTACATAAAAATACCTCTGATCTCACCCTGCCACGTATCGTTAATTAACTTCAGGCCAACCACTCAAAACAACCAACCCTGGTTAGGCGGGTCCAAACTGCATAGTAAATTGTGATTGCTCATTTGTAATATCTCATGCTTTGTAGTTGAATAATATATATGAATGAATGAATAGAAAACGAAATAATTGATTCTAGCATTGATTTATTGACAAGTTTCTTTTGAGAAATACGTTCCTAACCATCTAATTAGATTACTGTATAATTTTTACTTTATTTTTCGTCATCGTTATTTAATAATTAAAAAAAAACTATTCTGAAAACGTATCCAACCCCAAAATAGGAGTTTTGAACGTCGAATTTGTGCTCAATTACTCAGGATTTACAGATCTTTAAAAAGTTTTATATGTCGCAAATGAATCCGAAAGCAGTTTTCCACAACACCGCATACTCAGTTCAACTACCTTACATAGCCGGTCACTCCCTTTAAACATTTCTTTTTCATGATATTTATGAGAGAAAAAATAATCATAAACGTAAACTTATAGAAAAGACAAGCATTATGTGCATTGCGAATGGGTTTGTAGTTAATAACAAAAAAGTTTATCAAAACTTAGAAGGGCTATAAACCACCTATTAATTTAACTAAGCATTACATGTCTGAATCACAACGGTACCATATAAACACGATAGATATTATTGATCTCTCTGTAATGATATCCATTTGCAACGTCCCCATCCTGTTTTCTGGTTTACAAAAGTACAATTCCTTTAAAAAATTAAGAATCGAAATGGAAAATAATAAATTTTAGAAAGAAAATCAATAGACAAAAGTGAATCGGACAAGAAGGTTCACCACACCCATTACAATTTGTTTATGCCATGAATGTGAAACCCTTAGAAATATAATAATCTAACCGATTTTGGGGTTCCCAAACTTTAATTATAATTTTGTTTAACTTTGCTCAAGATTTAGGAAAGAGTAAACATTGAATGTTTAATATTTTATATTCCATGAAAACTTCATATTATATGGACGGTGGTCGATAAAATTAACTTAAAGGGAATTTTTGTGAAACACGAATGCACAATAAACACGCATGTAGGCTAAACCAGAGTGCTAAGCCCACATAGCCCCCCCCCCCGTGTATAGGCCTCTGATTCAATTAAAAACGAAATTTTTAGCTGAGAGAATTGTAAAACTCGTTAGTTTGATCAATTTCATTTAATATTTAAAAAGAATAAAGTTTTTGCCACAAACTCACGATATCTTTGCAACCCGACATCGTAGACCTTTTATTTCAAACTGTAAAATATTCATGGTAGGTCAAGTATTGTGGTACTTTGAAACATCAAAGGTTTCCACCATCAGGTTGTACAAATTTGGGGATATGAAAACTCCAAATAATTTCATAAAATTCATAAAATATTTCTTATTTTTTTCTTATGCATTTTTAATAACTAATATAGTTTATTATACTGAAATCAAAATTTTACAATTGCTGCCATACGAATTCAGAAAGTTGCAACACATGTCTCTGCCGACTCTGCCACGTGTAATCATTGAAAGCATCGAGAGCAGAGACCACCTGGCGGCCGACTATTTCGGCGATTACATAACAAATAAAAATATTATGAAGTATTAACTATATACGAATGCGTCGAAAAATAATCGATCACTATAGGTTGTTATATTTGTATGATTTGTTTGGAATTTATTGATTTTGTTTTACGATGCGAGTCGAATATTGCAATTTTCTCAATTTTTATAGACGCTACGTTCTTAAGTACACGTCGTTTTTAACAATTTTCTCCTTATAGACGCAACAGATAAAGTAAGATTAGTTGCGATCAAAAGCGCTTATTTTTCGCGGTAAGCCAATACCCCTTTAATTTATCGGGAACTGTAAGTCTACATTATTTTAAACAAAAATTCAAATATTAAACCCACACAAATGATATTATTTATTATGATTATTGATTTCATTTTAGAACAGGTCACATTTGTGAAGCAAATACAAAGTTTGAGGGCAAAACACGTTTTGAAATAAGTATTTATAGAATTTAAATACTGCAACAATAAAAATGTAAATATTATATTCTTTTCTGATATTTCAAAATAAAACGACTTAAAATTTTAATATTTTACTAGCTGAAGTGCACGGCGTTGCCCTTGGTATAAAAATAACAATTTGTAACAAGAATATTTTGAATTTTTTTAAGCCTTTGTTACCCCCGGAATACTCCCATTGGGTTCCCTAAAAAAATCAACCCATTCGGTCCAGCCGTTTTGCCGGCAATAAGGAACATATATACAAATATCTTGTTTATTATAAAGAAAGATAGAAGATGATTGTTCTTACAATGAATTAATTTTTTATCATAAATGAAGGAAACTTTAAATTATTTATTCTACCCGTGTTAAAAAGTAATCAAGTGGACATAATTTTTAAATTAATTCACAAAATAAAATATTTTCAGTGATTCATGCTCTTCTGTAAATTATGAAAGTTCTGAATTATTGAATATTTCCAAATTATGGATAGTTTCCAAAGTTGGTTTATGATCCAAAACGCGTCCAAGATTCGAATTCGTGATATGTGCGCAAATGGAAAACCTTAATTATTTCGAAAATGGTATAGGTTTTTGTTAAAAATGAACGACCACTCACAATATAATTCTAGAAAAAAATAGAGTTACTTGTAGTTTTCGTCGTGCTTAAAAATATATTGTAATATTGTAAATAGTTTCTTTGATTGATATTTGCTCTCGGCACAGGGAGAGTTACTAAAACATTGATCATGATATTTGTGCCCAAACCTGACACTCAGTGTCAGATTTAGAACATAAGCACGGTTTGGAACTTTCTTCCCTGTAGAAATAAGAAAATAAAATTTTGTTTTATTAAATTAATAATATGTAATTCTTAAAAAATTGTATAGAATACAGTATATATATGTTATACAGAATATTGAATATATGCTAGTTAATAAATATTCAATTATTATTTAGTGCCAAATCATAAATGTAATCAAGGAAAAGTTATCTTTGCAAAATCACGGTAATTTTATATTTTGACGAATATTCTATCATTATATTTTGAATAAAAACTTGGGAAAATAATTAATCATTTCTTCTTTTTCAGCGCTTCGAACCTTTTTGTTAAATCGTCAAAGTCAATATCATCATCATCATCGTCGGGTTGGGGCGTGTTGCCGCCCAGGGGCGTGTCCGAGGGTACGGAGGGTAGGTCGGGGAACTCTAGGTCCGGACTGTAGGAACTAGGACCCTGGTTCAAGTTCTGCTTCTTGATTGGTTCTTCGGGGTAGTAGGGAGGGGGCCCACTTCCTCCACTAGAACACAGAGAAATAGATAGATAGATAGATAGTAGGGAGGGGGACCACTTCCTCCACTAGAACACAGAGAAGTAGATAGATAGATAGATAGATAGTAGGGAGGGGGGACCACTTCCTCCACTAGAACACAGAGAAGAAGAAAGATAGATAGATAGTAGGGAGGGGGACCACTTCCTCCACTAGAACACAGGGAAGTAGATAGATAGATAGATAGACTAGAACACAGGGAAGTAGATAGATAGATAGATAGCAGGGAGGGGGACAACTTCCTCCACTAGAACACAGAGAAGTAGATAGATAGATAGATAGTAGGGAGGGGGGCCACTTCCTCCACTATAACACAGAGAAGTAGATAGATAGATAGATCGTAGGGAGGGGGACCACTTCCTCCACTAGAACACAGATAGACAGATAGACAGATGTGTAGAATGTAGATGATAGATAGAAATAGGATAGATAAACAGATAGATAGCTAATATAATAATAACAAATTTCGACATTTAAAATAAAGATTTTCTTTCTTACAATAATGTTCAAGTCAGTTTTGTATAGAAACCACAATGAAAAATAATCAGTTTTATAAATAATAAAAAATGATATCTAATTCATTCACGACCAGACAAAACTTTTACTGATTCCGTTGTGAATCGGGCATTGTCATCTTTGCAGGGAGGGCATTTAAAATTACGCTTACAGTCCCTTTAATTAATATTAAGATCGTCTTTGTCTCCTGATTTATGGTCCCTTTACCTGATATTAAGGTCGTCTTTGCTCTCAACATTCTCATTAGGAGAGTCTGGTCTGCCAGGTGGGATATTGTAGTTGAAGGGAGGGGGAGGAGCAGCACCATTGGGGGGAGGAGGTATATTTCCAGCTGCTTCTCCAGGGAGACCTCCTGGACATCCTCCAGCTGCTCCAGGACATCCTCCGCCTCCAACTGCACGAAAATAAGATCACAAATATTTATCAAGTTTCTGGAGAAAAAGGGAATTGTTACGGAAAATAATGGATTAAACGTATAATAATCAGCAATTAGTGCAATCAGTGTTGTTAATCGTTTTCGATCATTTTCAGAAAAAAATCAATAAAACTTCCAAGTTTTAAAAACTGCAACATGTTTAAGTTTGCTTTTATTAATTTTAACCATATCTTTATCTGTATATTAAAACAAAACATTCATATATATGTTGCGTACGGCTGGAACGATTGGGCTGAATTTTTTTGTGGACACTCATGGGTAGCCAGGGGGGCTGTGATAGGCTAAAAAAATTCTTAATTTTTTTCAAAATATCTTCAGCTAGTCCTAAATTTAAAAAAAAAATGGAAAAACAAGGCAAAAATGACAAAAGCACGTTAGTTTTTGCATCGTTTTCGGATCGTTTTTGGAACATATATTCTGCCAGGGTCAAAATTGGACATAGTAAATGAAAGACAAATTTTTAGAATAAAAGATCAACAAAAAACATTTGCTCCTCTTACATTATCCTAAATTTTGCCCCTGGAAAATATTTCCTCTGATGGGTAATGAAATACTTACAGGCCTGTGTTGCTGAAGGATAGTTGAAGGGTGCTTGGGCTGGTGATGTGTAGGGAGGAGGATATCCAGGTTCAACAAACCCACCACCTCCACCACCACCACCTCCTGCAAATATATGATTTGTCAACTTTATTTTGAATATTCCTCCATTTAAAGGGACTGTACACGTAATTTTGAGTGACCTTCCATTTACAAAGTGGATAATAATTTACTTTAAATCTTTACCGCCAGAGCTAGAGCGCGTTCTGAACAGGAAAAAAAGTGTTGACCCCTGGCTTACCTGTATTTCCAGTATTGGTGTCAAGGTCGTTTTTTCCAGGCACCCCAGGCATCAGGTCAATCAAATTATCTATAATAATAATACAATAATGAGAACCCAGGGGTGGAGTTTATAACCCCCCCCCCCATCCTTAAACGGGAGGGGGGAAGAAATCAAAATTTGACCAAATAGGGAAGAGAAATAAAAAAAAAAGTTAAATGAAAGGAGAGGGGAAGAAGAAAAAATATTATCCCAGAAAAAGGAAGAAAATTTAATTCAGTTTGAATTTTCTTCCCCAAAACTAACCTTGAATGTAAAAAAAGGGAAAATAATCAAATTTTGTTTGATTTTCTTCCCCTAAAGTTTCTTTAATCTTCCCGGATAGCGTTAAAAGAGAAGGTAAAAGAGAAGGTAAAAGAGAAGGTAAAAGAGAAGGTAAAAGAGAAGGTAAAATCTAAAAATCTCTTCCCCAAAAGTTCAGAAAATCAGAAAAGGGAATAAATTTGCCTTTGAACTATTTTCTTTTTTTAAAGTGGCTTGAAATATACATTTTCTTTAAATGAATTATTTTTCTGTACAGAGGAGTTTTACTACAACACACGACAGTAATAATGGAAGAAAATTTGCCCAAACACTCCTGAAATCTGAAGATATTTGCGATTTTTAGCCAAATGGATTGACAGAGAGCCTGAATACCGGCCAATGTACAATAGGAAGCCTAAGTAAATTGCGCGTATTTGTACTAAAGGAAGTAACTGGCAATGTATGGTAGTTGAACTAAGAATGTAGTATTGTGAAGAAATTTTGTAGGAATCATTTGAGACGCTTTTACGCATATTTGTTCAGCAAGAGCACAAATTCAATCTTTAAAATCCTCATAGACTGTTCATTTTGGAAGGATGAGTTTGAGAATCGGTTAAAAAAAATTATTCAACAAAAAATGTAGTAAAAATTTTACAGTGAACTAACTAGTTGTTAAAGAAAAGGCTGAGAAAATAAAAATTAAATATTATCATCGAAAATAAGTAATCTTATTTAGTTATTAGAAACGTAATGTCTTATTATTCACAAAAATTTTCTGTAGATTTCCTGGAATTTTTAGTGAAAAGACGGCATTTGACGAATTTGAAGAAATCTGCGTACAAATTCGTTAACAATGAGAAATTCAATATAACATTGATTTATGGAGAAAAATTTCCGAAACATCTAATAAGTTTACTGAAGATTTTTTTACATTTGGTCGTCGTTATTTAATAAGTAAAAAAAAATTATCAAACTTAACCACCCAAATGGATGATTTTAAACGTCGACTTTGCGTTGAAACTCAGTGATTATACATCATTAAAACTTTTAAACTTCTCAAATGAATTATAAAATATTTCTCCTTACTACTTCATTCTCACTTCAACTACCAAACATTGCCGGTTACTCCCTTTAAGCGCAGTGTTCGAATGTTAAAACGGTCATTGGTCATTTATTGAGTGCAGGGGTTACAGCATAATATTATTTACTACTGACAGTGCAGAGGCTCACTGAAATACCTGCTGAGTATATTTCATCCTGATTCATTACTTGAGGGTCAGGTTCATATTCAACATTGTAATAACGGGCAATCTCTATCAGATACTTCTCCACAGTTATCTTAACAATAATAATAAATAACTTATATTTAACTAAAAAAACTTGGAAGTGACTTCTGACAATACCAAATCAAGAATTTTTGCGATACTTGATGTTAATTTTAAATGAAAAAAGACCAGAGCTTGATCTCGTAGATGTCCACTTTACGCTGAATTTTATTCCAATTTTAAACTGAACAATTGTAACTAATTACACTGCAGAAGGAATGCGGCAGTTTAGAATTGGCATGAAGAAATATTAATAAATAAAAGATCGAGATCAAATCTTGATATCAACATTACAAGATTTCCCACCTCCGGTTTTGTTTATCAATAAAGGTTGAATGGTTATTCATGAATTATAAAACTTAAGTCAGACTTAAAACTAACCTTGGGAGGCGCTTGGACACTTAACTTATGCATAAGTTTCGCAGACACAGTAGTTACGGCGTTTTCTCTGCAAGCCTAATAATAAAAATAGTTTTGGGGGATTTCTTAGTTTATATTGGACCCCCCCCCTCCACCCCCAGCTATTCATGTATCTTAAATCTGAACACCTTGAATAATATTATCACAACAGGTTGCTCAGTTTGAGAAGGTCGAGATTTTACTATATTTCTCTGTTTCAAATATAATTGTGAGTTATAAAATAATATTCAATAAATTTCGAAGAATAAATTGATTTAATTGATAATTGGATTGTGTAACATATTTATTATTGCGTTATTCATTTGTATTTTTATTTTATTCCCATAGAGAATAGAATATATATTAGAAGGGAATTTAAAGTGTAAAGCGGCCATTTTGTTGTACTGTTTCCATACTGCAGGTGTACTTCACATATTTATGCTATATAACCTTTTGGGCCCTGGAATATCATTTTAAAGAAAATCTAAAATTATTGTTAAAAGAAAACCAAATTATGAAATAGGCTGGTTTCATAATTGACCAATGATCATTTAACATAGACTATATGCCTTCCACTTTACAAACGATGATTTTCCGTTATAACTATAAATCAAATGATGTTTTTTATTCACCTAATTCATTATAAAGTTTATTTAACAGATTAAAGAATTCGAAATTGAAATGAATAGTCTAGGGAACATACTGTATTAATGTACTCTACTGCATATAATTTGTGAACATTTACATGATTTGTACACTTTTAACTCCCTTTCAGGCTGAAAGGGACTGAAAAAATTCATACCGAGATTCTTTAAATTCCCCTCTAATATATATTCTATTCTCTATGTTTATTCCACTCAAATCTATACTTTATGTACTTCACCTGTGCATATGGTTTCCCGTACTTTGCCGCGAACTGTTCAGCAACAATTTTCAACTCCTGTACATCACTCATCATCCTGTGTACATAATAATAATAAAAAATAAAAATAAAAGTAATAATAATAATAAGTTTATTTTTTCGGCATACATAGTCTACAATATTCTTACTGAAATTATTTTACATTTGTTGACACCAAGGGGCTCAGCGAGCAATAGCTGTAGTGCCAAGAGCCCCATCGTAACATAAATATAAAACATAAACAAACATAAAAATTACAATTTTGATTTCTATTGGG